TGTCTCTGGTCCATGGTTGTTCATTATTTTTGTTATTTTCTCGCCTGGTCCATTATACTCCTGCTATGAGTGAAACCATCCGGTATTTTTCTTTGACCAAAGAAATTTCTTATTGAGTAGCACATTAAGGAAATTTTTTTATTGTTGAACACCATAAAAATACTGAAATCAAGGCAAAAGTTTAGACAATTCAAGTCTATAATAAAAAGAAGTGAGAAGTTTTTATGAAAGTTAATATTAAAGATAGAAAATACTCTGCTTCCCCCTCCTTGGGAAATCATTCATTGTTTATTATTATATGGAAACTTGGATTAAAAAGTTTCATTTACAATTTGAAATTGGCAAATCAGAAGTCTTATTTATAGGCATTTTAGGTAACCAATATGCTCCCTTAATTGCTGTGGCAACAGGTAACACACACAAAGAGGTATAGAATGTACCTGTCCTATATCCCAAAAGTTATCAATGATGTAAATAGCAGCCCCACCAACTATTTGTCACTTTAGAATTTTCCCTGTGTTCATCGAACTTAGCCACTGGTAACAAATCTAGGTATCAGCACTTTGGATTCTCAGTCTTGTCCATAGAAACCTGTGCTTTTACTGATTTTTCTTTGCAAAATTATTTCTTTCCTGTTTTATTAATCATCCTTTAATATTCATTACTTATGAGGTTGCTGTGGAACATAATTGTCTTGAGTTTCAGCTTGTTTTCTTGGAATCTATAGTTAACACTTTTGAAGGGTACTACTACTAGCTCTTCCCAATTATCAGTAATTGATCTGTTTTCAGATCTTCTGTATTCTTAGACTTTTATTCTGTCATATATAAAAAAACCTACTTTATAATCATCAAGAATATGTGTCCTTTTTATGCTTTACATATTTTGAGTCTCTGTGTGCATATACCCACACCACACAGAGATTTAGAATGGTTTCACTCTCCCTGGTTAATTGAAACTTAATTATGAAATATTCCCTTTATATCTAATGAGGTTTTTGCCTTATGTTTTATTGTCAGATATGAATACAATATTGGCACTTATATAAATGAATACTCACCCCACTTTCTGGATAAAGTGAAGAGCTGGAGCATTAACACTGGTCTTCACTTACATAATATCAATGCCATGCATTTGAATTCTGTATATAGTTGACATGGCTAGTAGCTGTTTCAGTCACTACTCACTTAAATGAATCCACAGATGTACTCTTTTCATTATTTATTTTTTCTCTTGACCTTTGTTTCTCTCTAGAATTATTTTTCTTCTGATAGAAGAATACCTGTTAGTGTTAATTTGTTAGCTACAAGTTCTTGTTTGTTGGAAAACACATTTATTTTTCCTTCATTTTGAAGGATATTATTGAGGATAGAATTCAAGTTGGCAGTCACTATCTTAATAGAAATTTGGAGATTTGTTTTAGTTTGTCTTCCACTATTAGATTGAAAAATAGCTTTTAATTAATTAACTTTGACCGTAAAGTTCTTTTTTGTACTTCTCATTCCTTTAAAATTTAACTCTGTCTTTGGGATGTCAACAATTATTCTGTGATGTGCCTCAATTTTTATGTATTCATCCTGTAGGGGGTTGCAGTGCTTTTTAACCTGAAGCTTAGTGGTACATTTTCTCTTTTACATTTTGGGAAATTCCTCTGTTGTCTCTTCAAAGATGTATCAGGGTCATTATGTTTCTCTGCTTCTCCATCTAGAGAAAGCCCTGTTTTCTAGAACCCTTGATTCTGTATTCTACTGATTGTCTTTTTTTGGGAGGGGTGGGGGCTTGATTGTCTTGTAAATCTTCTAACAGAGTCTACATAACAACATTGTAGAGCTAGTAGGATAGTTTAGTTGATATTGTCTTCCAACTTTTACCTTTGTGTGTAGCAGGTAACTAAGCTCAGAACAATAGGAATACCACAGGCAGTTGTGTGATAGCCTTCACTTAATCACAAATTGAGATTATTTGAAACTGTACTTCAGTTCCTGCGAGTCTTTTTCATTTTTTTCCCATGTGTATTCCCAGAAAGTAAGACTTAATACTTTGGGAAATGTATCATGCCTCTCCTTTTGATAAGAACCTTAATTCTAGTATTTACCCCTTAAGTCTAGTGAATTTGTCAAAAGCTTCCTAAAAATTGACCAACATTTCATTAAGAAGTAGCAAGTACTTCTTTTTAGCAAGTAATCCTATATTCCAGAGGTTATAGCTTACCTATAATTGTACAACTTCACAAGTATATTAAGGAATAGCTCTCTTATTCCTTAACAAAAATTAACATTATTTAATATTAAAAGGCAAACTACCTACTTTACCTTTTGTTAATACAGTATTAACTTCTAGGCAAGAAGGAAGATTCTTTTGTGGGCCTCCTTCATCTTAAGAGGCAGTTGGGAATTGAGAAAAGGGTGATGGAAAACTGTAAGTAGAATGGGAGAGATAAATCTTAATTAAGTTGAACTCCAAGATCAGTAAATATTGGAGGCATTTGGGGTATGGACATCATTAGGGACAGTAGTGTGTGTTAGCCATGGTTTGTTTTTAAATGCCAGCACGGTTACGTAGTTCATTTGTTTTTACAGCAAAACTGTTTTCAAAAATTTTTACAAATAAATTTTTAATTTAAACTTCAGTTTTTCAAAAAGGAATCTCATTCTGTGAATACAGTAAGTGTAAGAAAACTTATACTCAAACTACTATTTTATTATCCATCAAACAATTCACTGAGGAGAATATCTTAGTAGGGTTTTATTTGTGATCATACTTAATCCTACAGAGAATTCATGAAGGGCAAAAATCTTATAGTGACTATAGGAAATCATCCACTGAAATCAACAAATTCACATGTGAGAAATAAGAGCTCAAATATAGTATGTACCAGAAATTCATTTTGGAAAAGAAAGCTAATAAAAGTGACTGAAAACCCTTTATCTGAAAGTTGTAAAGTTTTTACTGGGAGACAAAACAAATGTACTTCATGTAGGGGTAGCTTTATTCAGAAATCAACTTGTAATATTTGCCAGTATTTATACATGAGTAAAATATGTTTACTAAAAGTAAGAAAGTGTTGTCAAATTAAGTCAATTGTGAGTTGCTCATAATATAGGGAAGCCCTATGACTATTATACTATGTATATTATATGGGAAGAAGTCTTTGTCCATAACTCCTTATTGGACATAAGATAAATTATTGAGAAGAGTTTTCCATCACCCTTTTCTCAATTCCCAACTGCCTCTTAAGATGAAGGAGGCCCACAAAAGAATCTTCCTTCTTGCCTAGAAGTTAATACTGTATTAACAAAAGGTAAAGTAGATAGTTTGCCTTTTAAATGCCAATTATAGTGGAAGTTAGTTCTGTAAGTTGATATAGTAGAAGTCTTTCTGCAAAAGCAAATTCCACAAGAGAAATCATTTTGTTTTTTGCTTTAATTAATGTCCATATCTCTAGAATGAGTTGGTACAAATAGACTAATCCAGTAATTACATATATACACAAATACATATGTTACATATATGTATATATGTATTTGTACACATGCACATAAAACTTTGTGTAAAATGACTTTTGTGCTGTATTCTATCTCTTGAATTTTGTATTGTCTCATACAAACTCTTTCAGTTTCTCATAGCTGTGTGCTTCAGCTACAGCAACAATCTTAGAGATAAACAATGCTAGATATCTTTATATTTTTCTTTTTATTCAAAAACATAGACACACTATTATTTATCCACACATGAGTGTGTTTTCATTCTTAAAGTGGAGACATTACAGCCACATTTTTGCATCTCTTGCACCGAACAATAACCTTTTAACTGGCTGAAAACAATACATGATGTGTATATGTCATAGTTTTCAACCATTTTGCTATTGTTTGTTCATTTTTGTCATTTGGAGATATTATCTGATAATGACCATCAAGAAATGGCATAGAGTGATAGGTTAGTGGGCAGACATTGCAGCTTAGATTTTCCTTTAACATACTTCCAGGAGTTAGACTGATGGATTGAACTGCATTTTCTTGTTTTATAAAAGTTTCCAGTTTTCTTTGTAATAAAACTGCAGCGTCTTATATTTCTAAAAGTGTATTCCTAGCCCCTCTTTAAAAGTACTTGTTTCTCTTTAACCTCAAGTAGCGTTACAAGTTCAAAATAACTTTTATGCTAATTTGCACATTAATATGCTTCTTTAAGTGTTTTTGTCCATTGACTTTGCTATGCTGTGTTGCCTTTATAACTCATTTGTTCACTTTTTTTTATTTTTATTTTGTTAATTTTAACAGATTTTATATATTAATGTAAGTAGCCCCTTTGTTAGAAACTCTTGCTTGTCTTGATTTTGTATGATGTTCACATAGTTTTACCTTTTAACAGGTTTAAAATATGTCTATTTTATAGTTTCTGAGCTACTAATTTTAGCAAAGTTTTACATATTAAAAGATTTTGGAGTCTTTTTAAAATACATTTTGGGAAATTGGTCCATTTTTTCCCTTGGACATGGACTTACAGTTGTTGACACTGCTGAACCAATAGGCAACTCGAATACTCTTACACCCAAATACACTTGTTTCACTCGCATATGGGAAGTAATGGCCAAATGATTTGATTCTGGCCAAGAGAAGAAAAACACTGTTAGATGTGAAGGACACGGGTAGAGATGTTCTGGGAAAATGTTTGCCTTCCTTAGGAAAGGGACAGATACAGCTGCTGCCAGAAATTCACCTGTTTTTCTGCCCTGCCCCTGCCTGGAGCAGTGACCACCTTCTCACAGCAATAGGGGAGAGACCAAAAGAACTAGAAACTGGTTAGGTTGTGTGCATCCACTTGGCATCAACTCATCTCACTTTCTTGAAAGTGGAAGTAAACTAACTTGTATAAACTGTAATGCAAATATTTTAGCTACATCAACTCCTTTTAGAATCAAGACCGTGCTTTGGACTAACCCTGTTTGGCAGTTTACCCATGAGGAGATGGGTAATTTTGGCATTTTAATTGGAAATTATTTTAGCTACATTCTTTTTTCTCTTTACTGCACACTAATTGTATTAAAGTTAATTCCTACTGAAGAGCTTACACACTAGAGTATGTTTGTTTTGATGCAGTTGATGGTAAAACCTATTTAAGTAGGCACATTTGGGAGCTTGGGGGGGACACCCTCATTCTTTGCCCTGCAGCAGTTTAATAGGAAAGTGGCAGAAAGGACCAGGCTAGTCTGGAAGAAAAAGAGCTAAATCAAAATTTATGTCAAGAGAAAGGCTGCCATTGTCAGCTTCCCCACTGGTCTCTCACCCACATCTTTGTCTCTTTCAAGTGTTTCCTTCCTTTTTGCCGGATCCCTGGTACAAGCACAAGGCCAAGAAACAAGCACAGCTTCTTCATGTCTCTCTTCTCCATGTGCCTCCTTTCTATGGATATCACACTGTTAATGCTGTGAAAGGATAGATTTAGATGTTTTTATTGAAATGTAATTATCTTTCTCATTTAGATAATAAGTGCATTTTCCAAAAAGCAGGACACAGTATGGCAAACATAAACAGAAGCCATACATAGGCCATGGTGTATTCATTTATTATTGAGAATTATCTCTTGGGAGAGCATTAATCTTAGGAAGAATTTACATGATGGGCAAATCATTTTTTAAAGATGGAATTGTATTCTATTGGTATTAATAAGAATGGCATAGAATGGGTGCACAGACTAAATAATGAAAAGATAACACATGTAACAAGGTTTCTAGGATATAGTTATCTTTCAAGAAATAATGTGTAATGGTCACAGTAGAAGAACCAGCAGCTATAACATATGAAACCTGGCATTCCATATGCTTCATCTTAATTGACTTTGTCCAATTCACTACTGTGTTGTTCATCTTCCCACTAGTTCTTTCTCAACATTTAAAATAGAAGCATATGGAATGCCAAAATCTATGCCCCTTTCATTTCATTGTTTTTCTGGCTGGGTGGTATCCCAGTGACCATTTAGGAACTAAGGATCTCTAGATGATTTTGTCCTCTTCTGTGTCCATGGAGTCATCTGCAAGCAGCCAAAGAATGGGAAAATAGGGTGAGGTGTAGGAGGTTTTATTAGTATACTTTCTTTCTGGTTCCATTCAAGTGGCTAGAATTCCATCATGCACCCAGCTGCAATGGAGACCAGTAAATGCGATCTCATTGTATGATATGTTATTCTGCTACCGTTTTATTCCTTTACTCTTTTTTTTACCTTCTAAAATTCAGAGGTGTTTCAATTATTTTCATTCACTAGTGCTACTGAGCTAATGCTGCTTTTTGCTGAAGGTCTAATGTAGTTAAATGTTCTCATAATTAATAAAACTTCTTTTGTGTACTTGGCTCTAGTGTAAAGTTATCAACTTCCTTAAAGACAGTGAAATGTTGGCAAAAATGAGGTGAAATATGTACTCTCATTCATTCCTGAGAGGAAACATCCTTCTGCAGATAACCAAATTTAGAATATACTGCTTTTGGGCACTCCCTAGTGGCACAAAGAGTTAAAGCGCAGCACTGCGAAGCTAGCTGCTGCTGGTTCAGAAGTTCAGAACGTGGCGCAGCAGACCTCTCCTGTCTCACCCGCTGCTCCCCTCAGCAGTGTACTTCATCACTCTGCCTGTTCTGCTCCCCACTCTGTCTCTGATGAATCCTCTCACCACCCCTGCACCTCTGGCCTGTACCTCAGTTCTGTATGCATAAATAAATAAACCTTTTTAAAAAATGAATATACAGCTTGATACAAAAATTGTATTCAGCGGAAATGACCTAAGCAAATGCTTTGAGATACATATAAATTATTTGTAAAAATGTTCACTAGCACTTTCTTTATAGTAAGAAATAATTAGGAAAAAATGTAAATGAAAACTCAATAAATTACAGTGTATATATATAATTTATTGAGTATATGCACTGTAATTTATTGAATATATAGACTAATATATTGGGTTTACATATATATATATGTAAGCTTGCTTTATATATATATAATTTTACCTATAGTCAATAAACATATGTATACACACACACACACACACACACACAGTTGGGACTAGCAATTAGAGGGTCAGTAGAGAATGAAGGCCAGAGGAATGACTGAGGTCCAGGGAGTATGGAAAGGCCCTGTGGGAAGAAGTGCAGAGAAATGGCACAGCGCGCGCGCACTGCCTCGTGGCGAGGACAGGTAAGTGGGGGAGAAGAATGGTGGGAGGAGGGAAAGGACCTGATGCTAGGCAAAGCATTTCGGGGGAGGAGGAGTTGTTGAGTCATCTGTGGTTACTGCTAAATAATCTTGAGCAAAAAAATAAAATAATCTTGAACAAGGTTTTAAAACATTTTTTTAAAGATTTATTTATTTATGCATATAAGGTGTGGGGTGTAAGCCCCATGAGCGGAGGGTGAGAGCATCGACAAGAGACAGAATGGGGAGCAGAACAGGCAGATCTACGGAAATAGACTGCTGAGGGGACCGGACCGGAGAGGTCTGTTGCGCCATGTGGATCAGCTACCTGGTCAGTTGGGGATCGAACTTGTATAGAAGTGGATGCCCATAGCTTGATAGCGCTTTAACCCCTGCGCCACCAACGAGGCCCAAGAGCAAGTTTCCGTTTTAGTACCTTCCTGGAATTTCAATTGACACTATATTTGAAAAAGACATGGGATATTTGCCTACATTTGAGTTTGCGTTTCTAAAACTGTCAGGCTAGAGCGGGACTGCAGGGTGGGTGTGGCCACCGAAGAAGGGTTGGGGGTGCGTCCCGCACCGCCCACGCAAACAAGTGCTTGGGGGGTGCGTCCCGCACCGCCCACGCAAACAAGTGCTTGCATCTGCGCTGCCCTCTGACAGCGCATGCGTACACAGTTCCGGTGCCTCTTCTCCAAGGCAAGCTCGCTTCCTTGCTGTTAGGTTGGGTTTGGTACCAGTCGTAGCCTGGTGTTTTCTGGACCCGGCAAGGAGGAGCCCTCATCTGCTCTTTATTCTGGGGACCTCTTTGGGCAGTGAGAGGAGGAAGTGAGCCAAAAGTAAAGGAAAGGTGAGAACATATTATGTATGGCTGTCTGCGAAGGGCGTCCAATCGGAGAACCCAGTTTGGGAAGAGTTGGAAATGGAAAATTGGGGAGTTGAAGAATATAGGGGTCCGGGTTCATTCCTGAGCGTGACCCCTCGGTGTTCCCCCTCCATTGACTGAAGAGCGCGTCCTTCCCTCTGCTCCTGGCGCCTCCCGGGCACATTGATGACACCTGGTGGGACTTTCCTGGGCTCTCGGTTCTGTTCCACCGACTGTGGGTTTGATAATAGGGTTTGGGGAAGATATTGCAAACTTTCTGGGGATGTTAACCCCCCTCCCCACCCCAGGTCTAGCCGGCAGGAGGGTGACGCCATCTCCCAGACGCCGAGTCTGAGCAGTGCCCACGCGGTAGCGCTCTGCGCCTCTGCCGCCTGGAGGTGGAGCCAACACCCTTCCCCCTCCGCCTCTACCCCACTGTGGGCCCCGGAGGCAGATGAAGATTAAACTGTGGGCGCTCAGCTTTTGCATCTTTGCGGGGCGTTCTTTACAAAGGAAGAAGACAAGTCATAGCATAGGTTTCGGTTGGGACAAATTGGAGCGGAAGCCCCTCCCTCCCAGAATAATTGCATTCTTCGCGTCAGCGGCTCACTTTTCCTAGCCGTACGACCTGCATCAAACTCTTGTTTGCGGGATAAAATCGGCGAGGCTGCTTCTGGGCGCAAATCCTCACTAATCATAAACTGCCGCCGTTGAAAGGTTGTGTCCAATCAACAGGTCTGATTAACCCGGAGCAAGATGCCTCCGGCTTCACGCAAGCTGTGTTGGCGTCTCCAGGGGGCGCTGTGGATGGTCAGTTCTGCTTCTGTGAAAATACCATTGGAGTCTGGCCAGGATTGCAGTGAGTTTGTACTTTGCTTTGGGCAGCCTGCCCCTTTCAGTAATGTTAATTATTCCACTCATGAGCACAGACTATCTTTCCACTTATTTATGTTTTCAATTTCTCTCAACAGGTATTATAGTGTTTCATTGCACATGTTTTCTCCTTCATTAAATGTTTTCTCAGGTATTTTGTTCTTTTTGATGGAATTGTAAATGGCTTTGTTTTCCAGTTGATTCTTTCTGGTGGGATATTATTGGGGTATAGGAACACAGCTGAATTCTGTATGTCGAATTTGTGTTCTGTAACCTTACTGAATTCATCTTTCTAATGTTTTTCATGGCGTGATGTGAAAATTGAAATGTAAAAGCTCCTATTTCTACCACCTGCTGGGTATCTACAACACCCAAGACATAATGTCCACTAGACTGCAGAATCTTCCCCCAGTGCCTCGTAGTAACATGCGGGCTCCTGCAAAGACACAGGTGCAGACATTGGAGGGATTGGGTCTGGCCAAGCCTTGTATCCACTTCAGCGTCTTCTCTGAAGACATGTTTTTCTGGAGAGGCTTTTGAAAAATAATTTACTTTCCATTACTTCAAATGCACAGGAGACTTTAATGGCAGTTCAAATACTCCTTATTGTGTATGCAGAATCCTACTTTCATCACAGTGCTCCATTTTGTATTTAACCAACATATTCCAGGGATGCACCACAAAGCCCCCAGTTAGTGAGTCATCATGGTTTCCGAGTTAGAATCTGATCTACAGGCCCGTTTCAACTTTCAGCACCTGCCCGGATGGCCTGAAAACGTCTCTTTTGGCTCTTGCCATGCTTCTCATTTTCACACCCTTGATTGATTTAATGTGCACAAAGCCTACAGACTGGGTGGTCTTTCTGCCTGACCTCTCCCACATAGCTTCTCATGTTCCTGCTTTCTTTCTTTCTTTCTTTTTGGCCATCTCCATAGCCAGTTTACCTGCATGGGTGCTGAACAGTTTGTTTCCTCAGACTTACACCTGACTTCTTTGGTGTTATTAAATCAAGAGAAGAATGAAATGAAGATGGATCATAATGTACCCATGACAAAATCAGGCCAGTATTTCAGTTTAATTTCTTCAGATTTCCCCACCTCCTCTATTGATCTTGTTAAAAATAAGAGGCATGTTCAGTGTGAGGGCTTTGCACTTGGGGTTTTCTCTGCTTGAGTGTGTCCTGCAGCACTTCATTCAGGTGATTGTCAAGTAACTCCCTCCTCAGAGAGACCCCACGAGATCAGTGTCTAGATTATCTCCGCTCTGTAACCAGCTGTTTTCCAGACCTATCTTCATAATGTAAAACCTGTTAGTACCTAATACCCTTCAGTACACTTTCCCATTGGCCCTTTCTTTCGCTTCCTTTCTTCTTTTTAATTCATTTTAAAAGGACAGATTTATTAGGACACAGAAATAGAGGCGCCTGCCTAGGCACAGGTGGGCAGGAGCGGGCTGCTGCTTTGCAAAGGGAGAGGATTTGTGAGACACCTGCCTGGCTGCAGGCGGGAGAGCCCCTCCCCTCTCACCTCAGTGCCTGACTTGTTTCTGGAGTCCAGTGTATTTTGCTTTGTTTCCTCACTTGCTGTGTAAACATCCAGTATTTGTCTTTGTCGTTCTGACTTGCTTTACTACAAAGGGGTGCCTCAAACCCTTCCATTTTGCTGTCAGTGGGAATATCCTGGGGCTGATGACGTTCCATCATGTGGACAGACACATCTCGATCTGGTCTCCTCTTGTGGCACACAGGTGCTGCCTTGTTTAGGTTACTCTGCTTATAAATCGTTGTATCAGGCGACACCACACTGTCAAATGGGAGCCGCGAGCAGGCTGTTGTGACAGGATGCCGCCGAGAAGGCGAAAACCTGGCCTTTCTATTGCTTGAGTGATTTTATTCAGGGCAGGAAAACAAAGAGAAAAAATGAGGAGGCAAATGTGTGCTTAGGTTATCTAGGCTTTTTGGGGAGATGAGTCTGAGGATCTGGTTCCGACCTTACTGGCAAGGCACTCCCGCGGGCAGTCTCGGGCACAGATGCATACCAGCCTAAGGCTGCCCCGGGCCTTCCTGCTCATGCACGTGATGCTGGCACTCAGTGTCCCAGGGGCTTAAGCGTCCTGCTCGTGCTCAACCTGAGAGGAACCTTTGCAGGGTGGGCGGTAGTGTGTGTTCTTTTAGTTGAGGAATTGATTAACTGAGCCAAATGGACTTTGTACTGAAAAGGCCAAAGTGCATGGCCAAGATGGCAGCTTAAGCAGCCCTTTAAGCCCTTTTAACCTGTGGAGTGGGTGGGCTGGCATCTTCACCCTCCAGAGCCTCTTCAATTCCCCACTGAAAACTCTATCTATGAAGCACTCTGTCCCTCTTTCTCCTCATCTCCTGGCAACACTCTAGGCTTGTTCTGAATTTGACTACTCTGGGTACTCACCTAGGTGGAGTTGCTTACACCTGTCCTTTGTGTCTGGGTAATTTATTGTTCTTAGTGTAATGAGCCCCAGTGTCCTACAGGTTGTAGTCCTCCTTGCTTAAGAGTGAATATGGCATTGTGTCTAAGCCACATTTTGTTTCTACTTTGTTCATCCCGTG